ATTGACTTTGCCGGAGGCAGTATTGTCCAGTTTCTTCGTTCGTGTTTTCTTAGTAAGAAACAAAACGCAGCCTCAGTTACCAGCAAAATCACTGGCTGGAGCCGGAAGTCAGCATACAGCATTCAAACTCGTATGTTGTTTTAACTTTATTTCCGTGTAAGCCTGAACGTGAAATCGCTGAATTCTTTTGCGCCTAAGATGCAAGTGACACAACCACTCATGCACTAAATTCCAACGTTTCTTCTTCTTTAGCGGGAAATGCACCCGCAGCTTCTGATCACAAATTTTAAACCACATGGTGTTTGGAGATACTACAATTGTACTTACCTTGTCTCCGTTTATGAAAACGTAACGCAGTCGGCCGAGTATAGTAAGATCAAATTTGCCATTCCTGACAAATTCCAAAGCGCTGGTTGTTGATTCTTGCCTTTATTTAACTACTTACTCAAATTCGTGAGACGACCGTATTGTTATGGGTCCAAGGTGACTGGTGACGTTAGTAATAAATACTTCTGCTAACAAGTAACCTAGCTAGGTGAGTCGTGCTCATCAAATTCACGCCTGCGAAGAGAGAGGAGATGTTATCATTACCAGGTTATATTCTTCAGCTTTGACGGTTATGGACTGCTGCTTCCCGTTTAGTTGTTCCACATTTTTGGGTATCAATATTGATTTGCGGCTAAATTTTTGATGTATTTCTTTTTTGAGCGATTAAAGTCATTAATACATGAGTCAATTCTCTGGCGAACAGATGTTGTTATAGTAAGGGTTGTTATCCATGTATTGTAGTTACAATTCAAAGACCTCTCAAGAGATTGTTGTTGGCCAAGGAAGGAAAACAAAAGCCTTGTCAGCAGGTAAACTTATGACTTCTATCCTTTATTTGTTCCCAAAACACTGCAGAACTCTAAACTTAGGCGAGACATGATCACTAAATTCCCTAAATAGGAGTACTATTTTTAGGGCTTCAGTTCCTTCAGCTTTTACGCGTATGGACTAATTACTGTTTATCTGTTCGGCTTTTTAGAATAACAATATTGTTCTGCGGCTTAATGTAAGATGTACTTGGTTTTTGAGTAATAAAACTGTCCGGTGAACAGAAGTTTTGAGATTAAGGTGAGTCCAGGTATTGTTATTACAATTCAAAGACCTCAGGGTCAATTCTCAGAAGTTTCAGCCCGATTATATTTCCTAAGGAAGTTGATGTTCTTAGTTTATCGGAGTTGCTTACCGGTTTGTTGTATGGTTAAACATGCAGACACTCTATGCTTAGAGGAGAGTCTCGATGGGGTGAACCGATAGCCGTAAAAGGGCCGGAAAAATCTAACCGTTGAGCGTGAAAAGTGACAAATTTTAAACGATAATCATAAAAAAAATTAA